ACCCCCCCCCCCCCCGCCTTACAACGTGCATTTCTTTGTTGTCATCTGGGCCTAAAAGTGGATTGCTTTTGACAGAGTCAGGATCGACCCTTTAGAAGCCTCTTTTATACATTTGGTGGGATTCACTTGTGTAAAAACTACTGACGATCTATAGTCTTGCCAATAATTGCGAAGACTAAACAAGGAAAATTTGGGGTAAATACCCAAGTTTATTTCCAAGATCGGTGATAATTCTTCATCATGACCTCGCCTCCCCACCCCACCCCCTCGCGAAGCAAGAATGACCTCCCACAAAATGCAACCCCCGCAACATTCCGCTTGTCATAATTCTAGTCCGTGGGGCACATCGTCAGAGAAACACGATTTTGAAATACGATTGAAATCTACAACCCCTTGAACGAGTATTTTAAGTGAAAAACTTAACTTTTTCTAAATGGGAGTCGGAAAACCGAAAGAGCCATGAGAAAGAGTTAGAGAAAAGAGTGTTATCGTAAACTTAATTTGATGAAAAACAACATTTTAAAGTTGTTTTAGAATGCATGATTTTTATTGGTAGCCCGATTGGTGTCAGCATTTTTTTACTTTTAAAAAATCAATGAAATCATGGTGAGACTAAGTCACATCAAATTCGAGTCGGTCTGTCTACTTATTCGGCCTTGATTTCGATTAAATCTACTAAACCTAATACGATGCGCACATAAGTTATCAAATAAAAGAGTCATAATTTTTGGACTTTATTGATTTAGACTTTTACCCATTTTATAGGTAACACGTGACCGACTTCTTGCGAGATGGCCCAAAGAGGGACGTGGAAACGTCCCCGCCGAAACAGCCATCGGGACGGGTTATCCCGGAGGTAATGAACTTATTATTCGCCCTTCCTCTCCACTTCTTTTACGTGGGAAATAATCATTGCATTTGGGCCATTTTGGGCTATTTAATGGGGTGTGTCTGAACGCGGTGAATTATTAATACGCTACCACCGCAGAAGTAATTATCTAGGCTCTGAATCACTCGCATTTCCTCTCCCCGTTTTTTGTGTCCTCGCATGAGAAAGAGTCACATCTTCAAAGACAGTAATGACCTTGACTAGCTCCGTTAAAAAACAAAGCACAAACCGCTAATAAAAGGCCTGTAAGCTGCATAGCATTTATAATACCACCTGACCTTCAAGAATAGATATGATATTTTTTTACTTACACTTGACGCGACAGTCATCTAACTGTCACTGTAGTTGTTGATATACTTCCTAGAGGTGGCCTGACTTGATATCGACTGTTGGAATAAGTTTGCCTATTTAAAGTCCCTCTGATTTAAAGCATTCCAATTAGTACGTCAGTTTCTCTTCGCTATCCCTATTTAACTTAGAGGTTGTTGTAGTCCAATACCTAGTTATGATGTATCAAAGCTTAAAAGCTATTATTTGTGGAAATGAAAATAAAGAAAGCATCTGAAACCTTGTTTCTTTTTTGTATTTAAAGTTAATTTATTGTTTTTAGTCACTTTTTCGCCATCAATCTCAATGCTGAGGTGATAGATAAAAATAATAAAGGGTGGGGTGTTAATTTATTTGTTCTTGCACAATCCCAGCCGATACAAGCTTATATTTCACTATCGCCTGCATGTCAACGTCCTCTTGTAGTGAAATGTATGCCATAAATCGCTTAAAACTAACTTGATCGCTTTTTTTTCTATCACCCGTAGATCCAGCCACAAAACAGTATATTCGTATGTGCATGGATCCCATTCTAGGCTTTCCACCGCTTGTCCGTTCTTCTTGGGCCACTGCACAAAATCTTTTGGAGGAACGTGGAGTTAAATTTGTTTGGTGAGTGAAATGTATGTATGGTTAATAAAATCTCCTTGTTTTATCTTGCTGAACTCGGTACCACTGGCTAGTCTCGGCTATTCACAATACTAATGGATGTATTGGGCGCTAGGGTAACCAAGTTACACATTGTTTAAATAATGACTTTTTCATTAACATTCCTTTTCATTTGTAATACGTTCTTTCTTTTTTTGTCAGCTTTTTGTTAGCCTCTTGCTTTCACATAATTTCAGACATTCATTAACTGCTAATATTTTTGTTATTTAAAGTTTAGCCATTATTTTATTGCTCGCTTTAAAAAAAGTTTTTTTTTTCAATGAATTTGCGTAGTCAGTCATATCGCAATTTCGCTTATCTAAATTGCGTAAGCACACACGTTAAAATGATCAAAACTCTGGGTTAATTAAGAAATTAATTTGTCGCTTTAATTGAGGAACACCACTACTGTAACTTTAAAATAGGTTTCTTTTCCAGCTTGGCTTGAGTTCTATTTTACACCTCCTACTATCAGTTCTTTTCTTGTTGCTGTTATGATTCATTTGAGGTGGCAAAGAATTTCTAATAAAAATATGCCCCATTAGAAGGTAAATTTTATGTTGCCAATTAAACTCTCTCCCCCCCCCCTCCCTCCATTCCATTTCTCATGCTCACTACATGGTTGGCTACCCAATTTTTTGGCATTGATTTTTCCTTTGCGAAAGCCCATTGAAGAAGTGCATTAGCAAATACATTTTTCACCCAGAAAAAAGGCTTTCTTTGGTGTTATGCTAAAAATATGCATGTCCATCTCTAGTAATTGCGGGGTTAATCTGATTGTTGAACGTGAATTGGTGGCTGTTAGATGCTTTAGTTTACAATATATCTTGCTATCCCACTGCAAACAGGATCTTCGCACCTTTGGAGATTAAACTTCTGACTTAATTTTTTTTAACTGGCTTCTCATAATTTACTGAATGGGCACTGACTGCTTTGGACCAATACCTAGCGGCTTGTAATTCCTCTGCCTATCTTGCACTGTTCGCATTCAATGCCTCCTTTTCATTTTTTCCATTTTATTCAGAATTGGGTAGACCGAATTTATTGTCCTCCACGCAAGACTGAATTCACCTCCGTTCGCAATCATTAAACTTTGCCCAAAGCGCTGCTTCCCCGTTCGAGTCCCTATTATGATAGTTCATCACTAGACCCACCCCCTCCCCCACCCCTCTCCTCTTTTCACCACCTCAAGTCGTCTATTCAATCACCTGAAGTAGAGAGGGGAGGAGTGGAGTGGGGGGGGGGGGGGGGGGGGGGGAGAGGGGAGTAAGTGTTGCCCGAGTGTGGTAGATCAAAGAATTCGGCAAGTCCTCTCTTTATTTTATGGGTCTGCCGTCAATGCACCGCTGCTGCATCAAGAGCAGCAGTTTGTGTTAACATCTATGGTGCCCTTGTTGTTTCAGCATTTGTATTAAATATACAATCCTTCCCATCTCACCCCTCTCCCCCCCCCCATCGGCTTCTAATCACTTTCGTGAAATATAATTAATGTTTGGACGGTAGAGACTATGGTTATTAAGATTTGTCTGGGGGGGGGGGGTGGGGTGTAAGGAGATGTGTTGTCGTCTGGATTACTGTAGCAAATTAGATATGACAATTTTATCTATGCCGCTATCCTGATTCATACCTTCCTTGGCCTACAACCTATGTTGTTAGAAAAACTTAGAGCAAATTATGGGGACATCTTGGGGGGGAGGCACGCGATTGACTTACCTCCATCTGGGGCAGCCTAGGCAAGGTATATTCACACGGCAAAATAGTTTATAAACCGGCAGTTGACTTCTGACTTCAAATTACAATGACCCCTCTGTTTGCTATATTCCACCACTTTCACAGTACTCACCTTACCTTACCTTTTTCTCTGCCTTTGTGTCTGTCTGACGCTTTCACATCTGTGAATCTCTTTTCTGTTCCTCCTCTCAACTTTCTATGTCTTTGATGTTTCTTCCTTCTGTGAAGCCCGAAGTCAACTAAAGAGCTAATGATAATTATCACGAAGCCTGCCATTTGATATGAATAAATTAAAAAATGTGAACATGGGCAAAAAGGCAACGTCTTACTACTGTTATTGGCAGGACAAGTTTTGGGTCCTTAATTTAATTGATGTAGGTTAAGAGCTTATTTATATATATAGTTGATATCCGCACCCCCCAAACGTTGATCCAAATAGTTCAGACTTCCTTCTGTCGTCAAGATTATTTTGTTTGTCTATTCAAAGCTTTATTTATCCTTTAGCGTCCTTAGGTCCTTTTTAAAGATAAGCTCAATTGATACTAGGTTCGAGACAGAAGGCGCTATTGCCACTTGAAACACACTCAATACGCTTTCAGTCTTTGTCTGAAACCACCAAAACTCATCTCACTTCTGCAGTATCAGCTTGCTGTGGGACACGCTTGAGTGCTGTTGGGCGCATTTTTCAACGAAAAATAATTCTGGCGTTAAAGGGTTAAGTATTTACAAAATGTGCTTTAATCAAGAGGTTTCGTACTTTACAATATGCGTGTTTGTAGTTATACCAGGCTTTACAGCTGCTTAGCTTTATTTACAAAAAATGCATATATCCACGCACCAGGAAATGATAGTGAACTATGGACGTATGGCATATCATAAAATGGTAAGAAATAGTACAGAGAAGGAAGGATTATTATAATCAAGGGTAAAATTTAAATTGAAAGGAAAGGATTCAAGATGCTAATATGAACCTTAAGTCAACGGAAAATATGAGTTTAAAGCATTCAGGTGCTTGACTATTTGTCATTTCATCCTCATGGCATAGCTCAATTCTTATCGCATTTTTGAGTGGATATTGGCTGTTGAAATACTGTTGTCAGAGTTCAAGATGCTCTGTTTAGCTGTTGTTGGCGTATTATAACAATTGTCATCAATTTGTGTAGAACGCTAAGCTTCTTACTTTCTTTGGAATGAAATTAGCCATTTAGCTCGGAAATATTTTATCGCATTTTAAGTTCAGAGTTAATCCTTTTTTTCTGTCTTCGATGCTTTGTCCAAAATCCCTCGTCACATGCCTTCTCAATCAAGTATTCAAGCACTTATTCCATTGCCTATTTTCCACAATTACGGGTGTGACTCACTTCTCAGCTTTGCCGTAAGCTTATGCTATTTTGACATTTAACGGGAAGCGTAATTTAATTGACCACACCCAATTCAAGTGAAATCGTTAAAATATATGTAGGATTTACTCCTCAATGCAAAATAATTTAATAAGGAATCGTAAATTCTTCTAATTACATTATAATTTTCTTTCATTTGACATTTTCTTAATTACTAAATCGATAAAAATTCTTTCACGTAGGCATTATTATTAATACCAGTAATTACTTATTTTCAATAGGCTGTGATCGACTTTCTAGTCTTCTAATTAGTTCAACATGTATTTTGCTAATGTTTCACTGCAATCACCTTATTCGTTTGTTGCTTTAGAACACAGCAGTAACTGATATCAATACACGGTAAAGGTTCCTATTTTTCGTATATACATTTACTTTCTTTTAGTTAAAACAAATGTTTAATCGCCTCAAGTTCAAATTTACATTGATTCATCTCTTCATTTCTTATAATTTCTAAACAAATTTTTACATTTACTTGAAGTGCCGTTAACCTACGTCCGATACAATCTCATAAGTCAATTAATTATTTAACATCGAGCCAAAAAACGAGACGTGATTATCAAATCGCGGTATTTAGGTTTTGGTTGTAAGTAATGAGGTTGTGAGAGGAGATTGGTAGTTAATCAAAAAATGCGTGTGTTCCCTAACGCAACAAATTTTTCTCATGATCACGCCTCTTATTCCTTTTTTCCCCAACTAAAATCAGGTTGTCTCAATTAATTTTCAATATTTCATTCTCGGGTTTTGGTATTCCTATTTGTATTTTATAAGTTTCTCATAGAAGTTAACATTTTGTTTAAAATGCCTGGTGTTATTTAATTATTGATTTTGAAATTTGTTATTTCCTTTCACCAAAACTGCTTATGGCAAGTTCACTTGGACTGATAGATAAGAATGGCGTGATGTGCACTAGGTTAGAAGACATCTAAGAAAGCTGAACTTGTATTTAGATATACTTTATCTAGCACACTTAAGTGTGCACCAACTGCTTCTTATTTACTTTCCCATTTTTTTGGATTTTTCGCCAGGGAAGATGAAGTAGACGCAGAGGAAGGAAAAAATCGCTCGGTAAAGCGTACATCCGAAGGATCGGCAAAAATTTCTGGATTTTTCAAGTCGGTACCTCGCAGTGATCACCATACAAAGCGACAACCGTTCTTTGTCATAGCAGGTCTCACATCGGTGACAAACTTTTAAAGAAGGGAAAACCTGTCCTTGAAACTATTAAATTTTCAATGCACTTAATGTTAAAAATCAATGTATTTTTTTTATATAAAATGGATGTTTGCTATCCAAGTTTGTTTGTGGTTGTTTGATGGGAATCGGTCTGTGTAATTTATATTTTTTCAATTAAATGTATTTTTGTTGAATGAAATTGTATTCTAGTGAAGCAGTGACTTGATAAATGTTCTTAGTGTAACATTAAGTCAAATTGGCACAGCGACAACACTTGGTTCTCAGTGAGATTGCGGTTACTAATTTACTCAAGGAAGAAGCCAGAAGACGTCTGACAAAATCGACTATGTTTATAATAAGGAAACACAAAAATTTGCTAACTTCATCCACCATAAAAACGTTTCCACGATATTATTATTAATCATCAGAGCAACGAAGGTTTCGGTGAATTGTAGACGAATATTTAGGCAAAATTCGTATTTAAAATTATTTCAGTGTGTATTCCTTTCGTTTTTAATTAGACAGAGGTTTAATAGTTAATAAATTTCTTGATTTTGAAACGCTTAGAGAGAGAGAGGCTCTTATTTGTGGTTTTTTTATTAATTCACTTCACTTTCGAGTTTAAAATTCCCCCTTCTTATATCCAGAAATATAATTTAAAACTTACGCTACTGCCGAATACAGATGGTATCTTGATTTTTATTTGGACAATAAAATATACTTTGACTCGTGGTTTACAATGAAAGAAAGGGGTGCTATAAATAGGGATATGCTGAAAATTCAAACGAGCAAAAAAATTCATTCTTTACTCAAAAAAAGGCTAACTTGAATTGGCTTAATAATTTGCGAATACCGTTCAGCATCTTATGCGTAAATTTATTTATTTCAGATGGCTGGCGTTTTGATAGCTATCCTTAGCCCTTTAGCTGACTTCGGGCTTCATAGAGAGGTGGACGAGGAACATCAAAGGGAGAAAAATTCTAGAGAGGGAAAAGAAGAGTGATTCACAGATGTAAAAGAGCCAGATGCAAAGGTAGAGAAAAAGGTAAGATGAGTACTGTAGAAGTGGTTGAATATGACATACAGTGGGGTCATGGTAGTTCGAAATCAGAAGTCAACTGCCGGTTTATAGACTTTTTTGCCGTATGAGTATACGTTGCCCAGAGTGCACCACGTGGAGGTAAGTCTATCGCACACCCCTTCTTACGCGTAAATTAAATTAGTTTATTCTGAACAAATCAAAAGTCTTAAGACACGTGGACATCGTGTTTTTTTTCTGTCACAAACGCCGTGCAGTGGAATGGTACATTCACTTCAGGGTGGTAACTCAGACTATTTACAATATTCCTTCAAAGACTTTAAATTACCGAAAAAAATGCCAAAAGTTATGCAACAATGAAAGTGGAATATAAATTTAAAATGTAAAAAGGGACACTAGATTGCTAATGATAACTGTCATACAGTCTGCCATCTTATAATATAAATAAAATTTGCATTCTCAGAATATGGGAGTAACTGGGCTCGGGTTTTTTCCCTATTTTGCGAGAGAGGTATTATTTCAAGTTCCTTCCTCCTATAGTCATTCCTTCCTCGGGAAGTCAATTATGTCAATTACAAATTCACTAAGGCGAAGAAAACGTGGCATGTGTTGATACGCTCTTGAAGCCATGGAGGTGGCAGCGAAAGTAGAGCGCGTTTCATAATTTCTTTTGGAATGATGCAAGTTACCACTGAGTTCTCAATCATTTATTTATGTCAAATGGCAGGCGTTTTGATAGTTATCATCAGCCCTTTAGCTGACTTCGGGCTTCACAGAGAGGGGGAGGAACATCAAAGTGACAAAAAGTCGAGAGGGGGGACAGAATAATGACTCACAGATGTAACAGAGACAGACAAAAAGGCAGAGAAAAGGTAAGATGAGTACTGTAGAAGTGGTCGAATATAACATACAGTGGGATCATGGTAGTTTGAAGTCAGAAGTCAACTGCCGGTTTATAGACTTTTTTGCCGTATGAGTATACGTTGCCCAGAGTGCACCACGTGGAGGTAAGTCTATCGCACACCCCAGTTCTCAATCTCAGGAGGGCAAAGTGCGCTGGATGCGTAATATCAATTTCACATAGCTCACGATCGTGGAATGATTGATACTTCTTGAATTCAGGCATAGTTAAGACTGACTTTGTAAGTTGTGGCTCACTTTGGTAGAAAAAAAGATATCTTGCAAATTCGTCCTTCTTTCTTACTTTCGTGGAATTGATCAGTGTATATTTTAGTAATTTTAAGGAGCATCTTGGAATGTCAGCAGTAATAAAGTAAACATTACAACGTTTGGAAGCGCAGTGTAATATCTAACTCAAAGAGGAAGAAAAGCAAGAGTGTGCATTGACAAATCATCTGGACTCGGTATGGTGAGTAATTCTTACGACGATGAAATAAGAGGGATGTGTGTGCACCAGGGATCCCTAAGGTAAATGACTGCGAGATGGCTGTCAGATTTGGTTAAATTTAATGCGCAGAGAGGAGGTGGTGTAATATGAACTTAGAAAGGGAGGAGAAAGAAGTGAATAGGTCAAGGTAAACTTGCGAATGAGTACAGTAATGAGCAATCTGTTGTAAGAGACTATACCATGGATTTTAATTAATTTAAAATTTTGTGCCCAGGAGACTGCAGAGAAGGCACGCCTTTTCCTGACCTCTTTGAACCAAGTCGTGAAAATTTAAATTGTTGGAAGTCTTTTATAAACGTTTCTATGTCCGGAATTCAGGTGACTAGAAATCCCGCATTCGTACACCGACAGATACAATAACGTCATAAAGAGGATACTTCAGTGCGAAGTAGTATCAGAGTTATGTAACTAAATTGGTTAAATTTTGAATGAACTGAGGTGTCGTTGCTATTTCCCGACCAAAAGTAAATGCCTATTTGCATGCTGTCACTATCAAAAGGAGAATTGGTGGAATGCGTCTTCTATGCTTGGTGGAGGTGTCAAAGGTCATGGTTACTTTGTGACTAGATGCATTAAAAAAAGGTTTGACACAAAGAATTCGCCTACTCTTCAAGATAAATTATTAGGAAAATTATAGCTAAGTTGAAAATGCATAATTGAATAACCTAAACTAATCCTTAATCAAGGTATCAAACTATACTCACCGCTCAGTAAAATGACCTAATCTATAAATTTTAGTCGTTCTCCAGATATACTCAAATGTTTTTCAATGATGGGAAACACAGTGAGTTTCAGTTATAACCAGAACGCTAATACGCGCGGAAACGCTCCAGAGCAAATTGAGGAACACTTCATAAGAGCGTTTGTCAAATGTTACAGGACTTACGATAGTCAATCACTGATAAATTATAGATCCGTCGCATACTAATAAAAAGTTTGCATTTTGTGCAGTGAGCGCAAGGAAATGTTTGCGAATGGATAGTTATAAAAGAAGGTGAGAAAAAATATAAATGGGTTTTAGTCTTTTTAGCTAATTTCTCTTAGTGATAAGGTTTTTAAAGTGAACTTTTTGAATTGTCTAGCATTAAATTTGATGAACCTTTGAGAATGGCATTTTGATATGAGCGGTATCAAATACCGTTGTCTTTAATCAAACTTAGGGGAAGCAGAAATGAGACACTGAAAATACATGTTGACATTAACGCCTTACCCAATCTCTACCTCAATGCAGAAACGTGATTCTTGTTTAAAATATTTGTAGACGCTCTATACCCCATAGGTACATAACGTTTGTGTCAAATAACAAATTTAAATGACAGTTTTGTTAAAGTACTTCACATTTTCCATTTTACTGGATAACACCCATAAACATTTTTGCCTTTTAACATAAAAAACTAACGTACACACGTTTCCCTTTCTCACTCAGCTGTTCTAAAAGTGCGTTAAATTCTCATCCGACCTTCCATTGTAAACAAAACACGAAGACTTGCAGCTAAATTTTCGCTCTTACCCCCTGCCCACACCCTGCCCACCCCCC